AGTCCACAGGCCTTTCCGCTGATTCACCAGGGCCCGTGTCGGTTCCCCTCTGCTTTGCCAGGGCAGGGGTTGGAGGGGGGATTCCCCCCTCCCTTCCCCAAAGTCTTTCCTGTTCCCCTGGAAGAAAGAGCCCTCTCCTTCAAGGGGACCTTTTTGGAGGCGACCTTTCTCGTCCCTTTCTTCTTTTTAGCTCCCCCTGTTCCTCTGTTAACTGCAGGGGGTGCAAGGGGGGCAGATTGAAAGATGCGGACCTTCTCCACCTAAATCTCCAGCGCCTCCATTCGCTGGTTGAGGCCCACCAGGCTCTCGTGAATGGCCCTTAAGGTCATGTCGATGGAGGCAGGTGGGAAGACAAGGGAATTCGACCTCTCCTCCTCTACATCAGGACCTGGGAGGGCCCTTTCTTCCTCGATGGTGTCAGGGAGGAGGGAAGGGAATCCACCCCTTGTAAGCGTCAACTGGCTTATTTGTTGGGACGTGAGCACTTTCTTCCCTGCTCTAGCGTCCGCCAGTGCCGCCTGACTTTTCTTAAGCCTCCTGTCAAGGTTCTGGACTTTTGCCCTAAGGACCTGGTTGTCCTTTTCTTCTGACGCCAGTCTTGACCTCCAATAACCGGGGTCGCCACCTTTCAGGGCCCTCTTTGCTAGGGTCGATAGTACCTCGCGCATTACGAATATGCCCATCTTCATACGGCCACTTTGTTGGCCTTGGATATTTTTCGATCTCTGCCTGATCCCTTCGATAGCCATGAGCTCCCGGTCAAAGTTTCGCCACAGCTCGTCCGTGGAGCCCTTCTCCATCTTCCTGATCCTGTCCTGTGCCATTTGTCTCTGGACACCAGTGAATGACGGAGGTACAATCGTGTACTCTTCGTCATCCTCGGGGAACGGATCCTCCTCCACCTCTCTGTCGTCGTAATAGACGAATGGGCCTGACCCATCTTTGCGGGATCTGCCCCGGGCTCTGTTCAACGAGGCGAATCGCCTCGCCTGGTCTCCCTCTTCCCCCGCTGGAATCCTGATGGGTTTTCCCACGGTAGTTGGGGGAGGGGGCTCATTGGCCATTTTCTCTTCCTCAGAGGTCAGTAGGCAGTTCTCAAAGTCTACCTCTGGTGGGGGTAAATCCTCCACCCTTGCTGATGGGCCCGGTTGGGGACTCTCGTTCTCAACCGGAGGGGGGGCAATCACGGTTTCAACCACGGTTACTTCCACTTCCTCCTCGTCCGTGTCGGGTATCAAAGGGGGGGGGTGCATCCATCCCCAGCTCCTCGGTCGTCTCATCTTCAAAAGAAGAGCGGAAAGAGAAGGGCTTGAACTTTTTCTTCCTCCCTCTCCTCTCCTCCCTCTTCTCCCTGTCTCTTTCCGTAGCCTTGCTAGGTCTTTTGGAGGCCGGTGGCATTCCCCCTCCGGAGCCTCGTGTCGGGCTGAGGACTGGGGTCCTCTCTCTTCCAGACGCTAGTAGTGCCCGGTATCCAGGACCAATTGTGACTCATCAGTTTTATCTTGAGCCGACCGTCTATGGTTTGGATCACTTCAGCTTCATCTTCATCTTCTGGGAGATTTTCATCTCCTAGGAGTTCCGCCACGGAGAAAGAGAGTTCCGCAGCAAAAATCTGCTGGACATCTTCCTCTCCGATAGATGTCTCCTCATATCCGCAGTTAAAAATCGCGGGCCTTAGCCCCTTCTAGGGGCTCTTTGTTGCAGGAGATGATAAAATAGTAGGAATGTGAAAGTGCCCCCCATATCTCCTCCTGCGAAGCTCCGAAAAGATATTCTTTGTCCCAAGCAGAATACTTGGTTCGGAATGCCCTGGCTTCCTTTAAAAGATCCGCATTATTTGCGTGATAGGCCATGAAGGCCAATATAGAAGCAAGACTCTTGGCTTGCTTCATCTCCTCTGTAATACCCTCAGAAGGAGGGGTTTTCGTAACCATCCAGCTGGTGGCCACTTTCGTAGCCTTGAGGATCCTTTCCATCCTTTTCTTCGCGGTAACATCTTCCGCCGTCGCGCCCGCGGTGCACGCAACGGTTGGCCCTTCACATGATGACGACGCATCGGGTGCAGGGACAATACACCCAAATGCGCCGGCCTCCGGGATCCGAAGCCCATCGGCAGTCTCCTTCTCTTTACTTGTTATAAGTAAGTAATCCATCATTTGTAATTTGTTAACGGAGTTGTCTTCTCCGGGTTATTTATCGTGGTTTTTCTTTCACTAGGATGATTGTCTTCCATGACTGTCGAGCTCGTCCTACCCGGGTCTTTTTATAGAGGTTTGTCCACCCTCGCAGCCCGTCCTAGCTACGCTAGTACCGGCCCCCGACCCCATAAACTGGAGTTACGGTATGAGTCGCTACGCTCCCCCTCGTGCAATGGGGGGCCGACCGTTATGCCGGAACACCGGCGTGCTAACGAGGCTGGTCAGGCCCCGG